CGGAAGATCCCAGTGCACAGGGGGCGCGAGTGCCAAAAAAAAGCATCGAAGGCCGCGGAGTGCAAGTTGTCGTTCTGTGCGCGCAGCATGATTGATGGCTGAGTGTTTCTTGCCGGACTCTTTGTTTGCTGGCCCCGGCGGGGGGGTGGGACCGGCCCCCGATGCCGAAGACGAGGCCGCTGCAGTCATCGCTGTTGAACCCATCGGTTTTTGCTTTCTCGAAACAGCTCTTGCGCAGGCCCATCCGAGCCGCTGCGGCCCGCAGAGTGGGTCTTCCCGCTTTCCGTGCGCTTTTTTTCCGGGTACCTTAACTCCCGAACCCCTGACTCCACCGCGGAGTACGCTCGGGAGCATGATCAGGCGGTTGAGGCCTGCCTCAGCACGCGGCTTTACGGAAACGCAGCCTCGCCGCTGCCGGCCACAGCTGCTTCGGCAGCGCACCTGCCGCTGGGCTACGGAGGGCTTGGTCTGCGGTCTGCAGGCGCCGGAGCGCAGGCCGCCTACTGGGCCTCTTGGCATGACTCCCTGCTCGCGCTGCTTACACGCCTCCCCGCCGAAGCCGAGCAGCTCCTCGCCAGCTTGAACTCCCCACATGCCGGCAGGCCCCCTGGCCTAGCAGCTGCGTGCTCCGCTGCCGCTGGAGTCCGACAGGCAGGCTTCGCCACTCCTCTTTGGGGGAGACCTCAGCCGCTCCGGCCCCACTGCAAGCCCAAGCCGCAGAGGGAACCTGATACGTGGCTGGCAACGCGCGGCCGCTTCCGCTTGTGATGAGCGCGCCTTCGAGACGCACCTTTCTCACCTCGACCCCGCGTCTCGCGCGCTGTTGCTCTCGCAAGCAGGACGCCGAGTTGGTCCAGGTGTCCGCGGCAGGAGCATGTGCGCGGAGTGCATAGCCGGAGGCGTCGGAGGAGCAGGACGCGGAGGTGCGCCGATGGCACGAAGACTGCTGGGGACGTCGAAAACGCGGTGAAGGCACGGGCTGCGTGAGGACCACCGCTCGGCCTGTGCCACGTCCGGCTTCCTTGCCTCCCGAGCTCTTCCGCTGGAGCATGCGGTTGCCCGCGTCTGCCGCGAGGCTGGAGCGCAAGTAGCGCGGAACGTTCGGGTTGCCGACATGAAACATCTATGTGCCTGTCAGCGATGCACATCACCTCAATGTGTAGTCGCCAATGGCTTACCAATCTGGCATGGCGCCCAGCTCGCGTCGATGCCACGATCGTCAGCCGGGTCACCCGCAGCCGCCGTGCAGGATGCGGCCAGACGCAAACGGCGCCAAACGTACCCCGAGCTGCAGGGCGCCAGACGTGCGCGGCTCGTCGTCGTCGGGATCGAGGTTGGGGGGCGCTTCAGCACCGAAGCAGCCTCCTTCCTGCGCCTCTTGGCACAGCACCGTGCCGCCGGCGTCGCAGCACCGCTACGCGCGGCTGCACGAGCTGGCTGGGTGCAGAGGTGGTCCGGAATGCTCGCTGTTGCTGCGATGCGTGCATGCGCCGCCTCCCTGCTTGAGCTTCCGCCCGCTGCTGAGGCATGTGTCGCGGGTGAGGCGCCAGAACTGCACGAAGTCCTTGCGGACGTGCGGGGCAGCCTCCCACCGGCAACCAGCCGCTTGCCGGCGCCCGCTTTGCACGCCGCCTGAAACGCTGCCGTGGACTCTGTTGAACTCGTTGCTGCTGTCGGAAAAAGGCGCGCTAAAAAAAAAACTGTTGCTGTTACCTTGTTGTGTGTTGGTGCTTGTTTCTTTGCTCGTACTCGCATGCTGAGGTTATGCTCCTCATCATGGTTTCACTTCTGCCTGACTGTGTCCTGCCGCCGCCATTGCTGGTGCAGAAACGCGCAAGCGCGCGGCCTACTTGGAGCTTCTGCGAAAAGGCTTCCTCGCCTGGCGGGCGCTGGGCGGCGAGTCGAGCTCAGTGCGACTCCGAGCTCAATGCGATTTTGCCGCCCTTGCTGCGGTGGAGATTCTCTTCGCTGGCGCCATGCCTGCTGCCCAGCTTTTGCTGCCCAAACCTCCTTGTCCAGTTCGTTGGCCAATTTTTTTTTTTCGCGCACCTTTTTGCGACTGCAAGTCGGGCATGCGGCTGCTGTCCCCGCGGAGCTGGAGACAGGCTATACCGACTACCCTACAACTACGTCCTGAGGCCCGCGGCTCACGCGCAGCGGCAAGCGGCTTGAGCCTGCC